TCCGAAACAAAATCAAGGGTGCTGCTCAGGGACACATCATGGGCTCTATATCTCCGGGTAGACAGGAGAAGAACACATTTTTCACTCAAAATCCTGTAATAAGCAGTGGCAGTCCATTGATTTTGAGACTTATTAAAAAGCGACTGTAAGCTTTTCAGAAACTCTTTGCTTGGCAAGAGTTTAACCCACCAAACCCCAGCCGAGTCGAGGCGGGAGGTGGCAGAGAGGTTGTGCTGGAGGGAGGGCTTGCAATGCTTCCCATCTCTAGCAGGCAAAAATAATGATCAGATGGTAAGTAAAAACAAATTCTTTTTTTTTTTTCTTTTGGGCACATTATATACTCCTATGTATCATGGAAAGCCTTTGGCCAGAGAGCCTGTTTTTCAGACATCTGGAGTATCAGACAGAAGAGGAGACATTTATTTCCATTTGTGAGCAAACGGAGCCCACAAAGTCAACTTTCTAATTTAATGTAACGGATTAATAACGCACTTTTTCCAATTTCACTTTTTCCAACATCTCCACAGGATAGCGTTCCTAACAACTGCCTTCCCGCTGCTGTGGTAAGCAAGGCGGTGGTGAGCCTTGGGCCACCAAACCAGCGGTGAGGGTCCCGGGCAGGTGGCACCATGATGCTGAGATGCTTCCCTGCTCTGGGGGCACGGAGCCAGGGGGCTGCATGAGGCACTCTGGGAAGGAAGGGCATTTCTCCTGAGAAATAATGTCAAAGAAGGAATAATTGCAAACCCTGAAGTAGTGCTCCCTAATGACCTGCTGCCTCTGTAGTTTCAGCTGGGTTTCTAGCCTCAACTCTTTTTCTCTGTCCACAGGAGGACAGTACATTTGCTGAAGCCTTTAAGGTCATTTTTTGATCGCTACAGCTAATGTAAGAGATAATGATCAGCACTGCAGGATATGCATCGCAACACATGAAAAATCCCCCTGCATTTTTAATTCTGTGTAAACACTTCCATTATATCCAAAACATCAGTCTGAATGCTGCTTGTGCAACAGGATCCCAGAGAGTCAAAATAAGCGCCGTCGTCACCAGCCACGCGAGACCGTCGCGGTTCCTGGGCATTATCGCAGAATCACAGAGTTGGTTCGAAGGGACCTTAAAGACCATCCAGTTCCAACTCCCCTGCCGTGGGCAGGGACACCTTCCACGAGACCAGGGTGCTCAAATTATGCACTGCTTCAGCCTTTGCTGTCCCTCCTTGCCACGTTCTCTATGCCGGATTGATCGAGATGTTCTCATCCAAACCATTATCTGATGCTTAGTAAGTGTTATAGCCGATATCATAAATGTAAGTGCTCCTTTGTCTATTTTCTTTGAGTTTCCCTTCTCGCTGTGAATACTAAGCAGGCAGTTGATTTGTATGCAAGGGTATGGATGAACCCATAAAGAATGAGAAGTGCCTAAAGGAATCCCTTGATGTAATAATAATCCTTGCAGGAGTCGTAGACTTCTTTTTTTATGTTCCCATATATTATTAAGAACATTTTTAGCAGAACAAATCATACAGTGCAGGGAAATATATATAAGGGTCTCACAGTTAACAACGAATAAGAGGACAATTAGAAAATTGTAATTAGATGATCACTTTGATAAAAGACTTAAGGTAGACCAAGTTAACAGTGGACTCCAAATAATCTAAGATTACTGCCTCAGATACTAAATGACACTATTGCCTGCAGTTTGATTTGACATATTTGATGCATTTATCACTGCATGCTTTTCAGTTCACTACAGCACTTTTTTTTGTTTTTCCTAACTGACTGCAAGACAACCAGAGTGAACAATGTAATAATTTCTCATACAATGAGATATTTCCAGTTTAAAAGCTACTAAGATAAGATTATCTATATATTTTTTACTGATTTTTCTTCACTGATACAAAGCTTGTGTAATTTAAAAGATGATCAGTTTACCAGGCAGAGAATTATAAAGTTATGAAGTATGTAGCTATTTGACCCATAAAACACAAGGCATTAAGAACTGTGGAGTGGGATTTAATCACAGCAGTAATAAGAATTTACCCATCTGATCTTTCATGCCCAGCACTACTCATTTTCTTTATGTTCTTTAACAGCTTCCTTCCTAAAAGCCGAATGAAATAAATGCACAGTGATTGTTATAAGACTACAAGCCTTTCCTAAAATTAAGTCTGAGACTAATACATGTGGTTTTGTGACAAATCTACTCTAGATCCATTTTCCAGACTTTGAAATTCATCTTGGAAAGTTTACAAAAATACAGATGCTGAAGTAAAATTTGGACAGTTAGCTAAGGAGAGATAGCCTATATTTGATCGCATTTCTAAGGTACGCTTAAATCCTGAGGCCCTTCCACACTGGACCTTAAACAATGGGGTCCATTTCTACAATTATAAAATACATTAAAAAAAAATTAAAAAAATACTAAAGGAGTCTGAGCAGTGAAGACCGTAGAGAGAAAAAATATTAAGACCTGAATAAAACTTTGCAAAAAACCAAGAGAGCATGTTGATACTATTTTTATAAACTTCCACTTAATGATGCGGAAACCCTGCTCGTGACAGGTACAGGAGCAGCACAAGGTCACATCTTCAACAGCAAAGAGACCGAAGCTGGAACCTGAGTCGTCTTCAGGTCTGGGCTCCAACCACCACAGCATGATGGCATTTACAAGTAGTACAGTAAATATCTAATGTGTTCACCGAGTGGAAATCCCTTCAAACAGCCTCACAAGGAAGGGAAAAGGAACACAGCTATTGGGATTTTATTTCTCACCATATGTTTTATCATCTCACTGTTTCAATGCTTTTTAACTAAAAATTGAACTCACATTAGCAATCCTGAGCTACTACCATGACCTAAAACTTTTAGTATATCATACAAAATGAATTTACTACTCTGGAGCTCATACAGAGTTCAAGAAACTTGAAACCTAATTTGAATTTCTCAGGTTTCTTCATGAAGATGGATTCCTTAGATGAAACTCCTGGCAGTACTCCTGCACATTCTGTAATTTTCCAATTAGAGGTCTGTATTCAGGTCAAGCGAGAGCTGGCCCTTGAGAAAGAAGCCAGGGAAATGGGTAAGAGCTCAGTATACTTTGATGGAAATTAGAGGAATAGGGTTCGCAAAAAAATTCAGTGAAAATACTTACTAAATCCATCCTGCCATGGGGAAGAACTATGGAATTGAGGATAGGTGTAGAGAATTTTTCAATATACGCATATAATGAGTAAAACATGGTGTTTTGAGTAACACTACTCACATTCCTGAAGTTACTTCTATATCTGGGTTTTTTTCCCCATTTAGCCTGAAAATACTAAATTCCTGCAACAACACAGTTACAATTTCAACCATGGAAAAAAAAAACGGACTTGTGTACTGTTGTGCACTGCGATAGTCTGTGTTAAACAAAACTATTCCCAGAGTTAAAACTAAATTCATGCCTGACTCTTTCTCTACTGAGATTAGAAATGCTTTCTCTAACCATGAAATTTACTGAAAAGCAAATTACTCAACAGAATTGCATTTGAATGATGAACTTCAGAGAAATCCTGGAAGATACCTCTGCAAACAAAAAAGAATCATTACCGCTGAGAATTTTTCCACAAAATAACAGCTTGGTCAAAGTTATACACTTCAAAGTCAAAGAAAATAAAACCTCTTGTATTGGGTGTGTGTGGCCAGGTTTTGGTAGCGAGGGGGCTACAGGGGTGGCTTCTGAGAGAAGCTGCCAGAAGCTCCCCCCATGTCTGATGGAGCCAATGCCAGTTGGCTCCAAGAGGGACCCACCGCTGGACAGGCTTGTGACCCCGCGGGGGACCGGAGCCGTCTGTGCCTGAAGGGCTGCACCCCGGGGAAGGGACCCACGCTGGAGCCCTGTGTGAAGAACTGCAGCTCTGGGAAGGACCCACGTTGGAGAAGTCCGTGGAGGGCTGTCTGCCGTGGGAGGGACCCCAGGGTGGAGCAGGGGCAGAGGGTGAGGAGTCCTCCCCTGAGGAGGAAGGAGCGGCAGAGACAGCGGGTGATGGACTGACCCCAACCTCCATTCCCCGTCCCCCTGTGGCGCTGGCGGGGAGGAGGGAGAGAATTCGGGAGTGAAGTTGAGGCTGGGAAGAAGGGAAGGGTGGGGGGAAGGTGTTGTAAGATTTGGTTTTATTTCTCATTACCCTGCTCTGATTTGATTGGTAATAAATTAAATTAATTTTTCCCCAAGCCGAGCTTGTTTTGCCCGTGACAGTAATCGGTGAGTGATCTCTCCCTGTCCTTATCTCGACCCAGGAGCCTTTTGTTATATTTTCTCTCCCCTGCCCAGCTGAGGAGGGCAGTGACAGAGTGGCTTTGGGGGGCATCTAGCATCTGGCAGGCTTTGGTGGGCACCTGGTGGTCAACCCACCACACCTCTTTAAACATACTTTTTTCTTCAAAAAGAAAATAAATGGCACTTCTCAAAAGTGCTGCTTTAAAGAAAAGGATCAAATTATTTTTAAAAGCTTCCAGGATACAGGAAACAAAGTTGAAAAAGTGTATTTTCTTCAGAAAGTTGAAAACCCTGTTGATGATGAAGAGTGTTTCTGAGTTTGTTCCCTCAAAGGAGGCACATGCGTTTGCCTCTAGGAAACCAGTGGCAATTGAATGTCGACAGAACAGAGCTCTAGAAAGGAAAGGTGTCAGGTACATGTTTTATTTCCTTTCCTGAGACAGGACTGAAAGGCTATTAAGTCTAATTTGCTGCTGAGACTATATTCCGTCGGTTAAAGCTCCCTTACCAGCACAGCTAACAACATTTTGCTTCATCTTCTCCACTAGAACGAATCCAGCCTTCCTTCAGGTCAGTCCCCGTGAGCCATGCTGTTCCCTCACACTCCAGACACTTGTTTGCAACTGCAGAAATCTCTGGATCTGCTGACATGTCCACGAGCAGGATTACATCTTGCCGTGGATTGTTCAAGGTACAAAAGCAAAGAAAATAGCTGAAAATGATCACCCTCTCTGGGACTCACCCTCTGATGGGCAGGGGGAGAGGTCGTCGGGCTGATCAAGTCTTGACTTTCCATGAGGTTCCCATAATCGGCCATGCTTCCTTTGAGAGGCAGAGGAGGAGGAACGTCGGGGATGTCTGAGCTGGACATACCATTCAGCTCCAGATCTGTAAAAATCAACACTGAGTTAACTCTTTCAATAATCGAATCCAATCCAAAGATCCTGACTGCGCGAATTCATATGGCATTGATACTGCGATAATGCGGCACGTGAGATATCTTTGTCTGCTCTCCAATGCCTCTATAATTATCTGCAGCTCATCTAATGAGGGATTTTAAAGGAAAGCAGAACAAATGAACCAACCCCCGCACCGACGGGAAGTATGCATTGTGGAGTCACATTGGACTAATTTTTAGGATACGCTCAAAATACTTGATCAATCCCCTGGTTTTAACAGAAAATAATTTTTACTTCAGATTTCACACCAAAATATTCATAGCGTAGCAAATGTAAATTTCTCAGCTGTAAGCTCTGCATTTTCACCTTGTTCATTAATACACAATAGAAGTTTTGGTAAAGTGCACTAAGAAAATCTAATTGAGCTAAGCTTAATTTTCTTTCCCTCAGTAAAATAAAAGCTTCTTGTTAATAAAACGCACAAATGAGAGCCTACAATTAACTACATCTCTCTTAAAAACTTTCAAACTCCAGGTAACTATAATAAATGAGCAGTCATTAGTTCTTGAGTAAATAAAATCATGCAAGTGAAAGTACAAAACATTTACTACTGTTTGCTGGGTAGAAAGTTCCCTTCTCTTAGCAGATAAATCCTAGCAGGTACGTGTTGTAAAGGCGAATAGCCTGAGGGACAATAAAGTTTATTGAGGTCTGAGTTGATACACAGTTTTTTGTGTAGAAATCCACCCACGGTGTATTTCAGGGTAATTCAGTCATTTTAACACAGACAAAACCCACTGTGAGCTCTACGAGATAAGAAACTTAATTTATTTTTGATAAATTAGGGAAGTGTTTTCATTTAGGAAATGAAAAAAGGTTATTTTTATTTTACTGGGGTGTAAAACAAGTGGAGGACTTACTTATGCAGATATTTTTATTCAAGGTTCCTATCAATATCTTACAAAAAGTATCCTTTTATTGTTCTCCAAAATGGCCTCTCACTAACACAATTTAACTGTAAGGTGCCTGTATTGATTTGTAACCGAAAACTGCAATTTTACTCTTCATCCTTTCACTTGGAACTTTCAACTACACCAGGAAGAAGAATATTTTCCATCCTGGGACACCAAACGTTCAGTGGCTTCTTCCACATCAGACTGAAACGTGTTGCTTGTCCTCCAGGACCTGAATTTTTCATTACTTTTTCCATTGCTCCTCTTTTTCATCCTTCCTTTTCTACACCGACAGGATTTCTCCATTTCCGAAACATTCGTAATACTTTCCTTTAAATACCCCCATCAGAATCGACTTCTGCTAAGCTCATGCCATTAAACATGCAACCGAAAGCAACGCTACCCATTTGTAACTAATACTGATGCTGCAAATGAACTTCCCTGTTCATTTTGTATGAATTTCCCAGCCATACTGTACATCTAAAGATCATCGGCATTTGGGACCATAAACCTCACAAAACAGCTCATTGACATACATCCTGCATGTCTCATCCACAACTACGTATGTATCTACATACATATGTATTTGTTTGTTTGTTATTTCCATGCAGCTTAGGGTAATACTGGGAGAGGTTTGTAAAATGGCATTTCCTTTACAGTTGTAGCTTTACTTAGAACTTTAGCAGAACCTTCAATCCTGCTTCAGAAAGGGAAACCTTCTTTGGGTACTTGCTGTAAACAAGTCATGTTTTTAGGTCTCACTATATACATTCCTTGGGTGGAAACTGAAAATGAGCATAATAACACATTATTACCCTAAATAAAGTGAATTTAACTGCCCTGAACACTTCATCTTTGTATCTTACAAAATATTTCAGTATCTACTAACTTCATCTAAGTTATTACATGTAGGCTAATAGGCGCTACCAAGAAGACGGTAATAAAAATTTTCTTAGGAGTTACACAAACCCTTTGTTTCTTCAAGGCTGACGTTTGGAAGATCCATGGAAAGGCAGCTGAGCAATGTTTTCACTAGAGCCGCAGAGGAAACAAGGTGCGGAGGCAACTCTACTTTAACATCTGAACAACCTGGATGGTTACCAACTGTCTGTGCAACTGCGTCCTGCTCTGCTTCTGCCCCTTTCCCTCCGTTCCCCAGCTCCTGTTACAGCTCTAATTTTCTGCAGCCCCCACTGCGTTCCTACAGCCTGTACGTGGCACCTTCACAACCTCATCCTTTCGCAAGACAGCAATAAATCCTTGCAATGTGGACAGAGTATTTCCATCCATGTGAACAGTTCATAATATATATTAACAACGTATTTGCGTGCAGTCTGGCAAACTAATTAGTAGAAAAACAATATTCTAAAATGAAAAAAATTCTTTGCCCTGACTAGCTAATCTCTCACACAGTTTAATGAAATCCAGGAGTCATCTATCCTATTGCAGAAACAGGTATTGAACACAAACTTCAGGAATTTTCAGTCGTGTTTCAAGAAGATGTATTCGCTACAGATCTGCTAATTTTCTCCTGCTCAATTCAGCTGAACTGTACCTCGCTAACCCAGTCGCTATACAAATAATTACTCATCATTTCTGGTTTGCTATCATTATTCAAGGTGTTTTATCAGACTACTATACTCTGAATATTTATTCCTTACTGGACATGTGCCACTGAGAATATCGCAGAGCTGGCAAGAGATCAGTCACACGACTTTTTTATCATCTTAACCTAATGATAAAATTTTACACTCCATTCTCCTAAACTGCCAGCTAACAAGCAAGCAGTATTGCTTAGCAACCCATTAACTGCTTTTAGCCGATTTCTGCACTGAAGTAACTTCTTTATCTTTGCAATTCCTAACAAAATGTATCACTACAATTCCTCAAATGATTATGAACAAATCCCATGAATTTTGCCGTAAGCTGAACCTATTTTACATAACACCCATAAATCTCCAGCACATAGCATAAACATTCTCAGAAACACATGATAGCTTCAGATACTTCTTTAAAAAAGAGATCAAGTTAGTTTCAATAAAATATACACAAGAAGAAATAATCCAATATAAAGAGTATTTTTTGCAGGAGTATATATACTCTACTTCTCTGTATTTCCAGCTTTTAGCATACTGGTAGTTTTTGGCTATCAAGTTGTAAAGAATGCAGAGAGTTCACAGTTACCAAAATAATTGCTTTGAGTGTCTGATGATGCAAATGAAACACTGCATTGATTTGCACTTGCTTATCCCTCTTCCACGTGTTTGCAACCAACAATTTCAAATTATTAAAACAAAACCACATGCCTTCAGAAGACAATTCTGTTGCTATAGATTTGTACAAGAAACACATTCCTGCTCACAGGGCACATATCTGCAATTGGCAACAAGAACTTTCCCAAACACTTGCTATTTAAGGGAAAAGGTTTTAAGTATCAAAAAAAGTAAAGAAAACAGTGACCTTGACTGAAGAAGATTTTTTTCTTAGAGCTTATCATCTATTCTTCTTCTTTACTAACATTGAACTCTTGACTATTGTACATGTATCTAAAATGTTTGTTTTTATCTAAAGTGTTTGTTTTTTTTTTTTTTGTCACATACTAGCAACTGAAAACTCTGAACAACAGGTTTTGGAAAACAGCACTGTAAAAGAAACAGGTGTTGTATTACGCCCAGTTTTGCAATAGGGTTTCCTGAAGACTGAAGCAAATAGATGATATTTTACAGAAAAACTGAGTGATAGATGTCAAACAAAAAATACATCAAAAAGACTGACTTTTTTTCCCCCTTCTGGCTTGTACTCACTACGTAGCAAATAAAAGTTCTTTTAAGGTACAATTACATTAAAAGATTACTTTTTCAGCCTTTATGCTTCCTAAATCCAATAGAGAATCACGTACAACAGTAATTTTTGACAGTTATTCTATACTTAAGTAATTGATAATGATTACTTGAAAACGGAAGAGAAAAATTTTCAATGCAACAAATTTGCTTGCTTTTGTAAAATGTTGAAATAATTTTTGCTGGCAAATGCAAGGAGCATGATGTTAAGAGGTAAGCTCTTGTTCCTGCAAGCAGTCCCATGGTGATGGCAAAAAGACTCACTCAAAGAGCTCAAACCAAGGTGTAATGCAATGCTCAGGAAACACATCTCCCCACTACAAGTTATTTTGCATAAAACTTGCTAGGAAAAGAAAATTTAGTTTAAGTTAAAGACTTACTGGACTGTATGCTGAAAGAAAGTTTTGTCCGTGGTGTTATTGGGGGTGGTGTCACTTGGGAGCTGGGAGGTGACGGAGAGACGGAGAAACGTCTTTCACTTGACATGACGTTTATGACTTGGCTTTTTGGTCTCTGTGGTCTCAGTGGGCTGATCTGCACAGGGATGAAACCAGTGAGATAGTAAAGGAACACACGTTGTTACTGAGTGGCAGACCTTGGGATTGCTCCATTTTCCCCACTAGCTCCTAAACAGTAACAGGGCAATGGTAACATACAATACTTCTGAATTAATGCGGTATTTCACAGCTCCAAATGTATTCCCCTTCTCCCCAGGAATCACAATGAGACTTAATGCACAGACCTTCCTGTAGCCTGGCATATTTTTCTGAAGCAATGAGCCAATTCCCCAAACACTTGCTTAATAACAGCTAAGGAAGTCTATATCCCTACTCAAGATGATACAGCATTCAAAATCTCCTCTTTCTTCTCACACAGCTTTACTTCCCTGTTAAAATTTATCTCTTTAACTGTTTTCACGGCGAAACTCTCTTCTGAGGAAGACATCCTCTGTCCAGAAACACTTTCTTGATGGTGCCTGTTTGTGCTTATATTTAATTCACTGAAATATCCCTATTGTTTTGCTCTGGCTGTTTCAGAGTCCATTTAAATTTTCCATCAGAAACACTGAAATGATACTTGTAATCTGATGGGCAGCTAATGCTTTGGTTAAGGTGGTTCCTTTTACTGAGTGGGGTTCTGAGCTCTACTGTTTGTTACCCATCCACTGGCCCCCATATTTCTAGTAATCGCAGTGAAGAAAGGATTTTTCAATTCCAAGAGATCACCGAAAATGAAGCAGCAGCCTGAAGTTAAGAAAGGAATTACATCCAAAGTGCTGCATTAGGACAAAACAGAAAATGCAAGCAGCAAAACAACAGTGTCTCTGAGACCCTTCTACGACAAACGAATGACCATAAAGTATGTAACTTTTTTTTGAAAGATCATCAAGACGTCAGGGTAACCTTTCAGAAATTTGCCTGATACTAAAATTCAAGTCCTAAAGAATCCAAAGGTTTCTTCTTTCAAGATCTTTTAAAGCATACTTTTAGTAGAATGGATAAGCAAAGTAATCACTTTCTTGGAGGGGTATAATTATAAAAAAGCAGCTAAGGAAAACATGCTAATTGATTAGGAAAGCTGCAATGCCAGAATCAAGAGAAAATCCAACTAGAATCAAGTCCCCAAGTTAACCTGATCTGTTGCTACTTATCTGAAAGAAATTTTAACTACTTCTGTGACTGACAAGCTTGGTCCTCTTCTTAAAGCTTCATGTAAGTCACGGTTCTGCTAGGGAATATGAACCCTCTGGAGACCACTAATCCATAATGAATGCATTGCTAATTTTTTTTTGTCTAATGAAAGCAAGATCAATAGTAAGTGATGTTAGACGCCACTAAATCAATAAAATGTACAGCCTGTTATTCTGATTTCTAACACAAGCTTTCAAGTGGTCTGTTAACTACCTGGCTTCAGTGTTAGGCTTGCTATCAGCTCACGGAATCAAAGAACAATGAGAATTTATGTTAAAGAAGTTTATGTGATACTTAAAAGAAGATATAGATCTCTAGAAAACTATAAAGACATTACTGATCATCTTCACATACCAAAGTGCTTAATTTATCTTCTGATAAGATCATAGTAGTACAAGATCTCTGTAATTAGGGCTTGGGTTTTGATCAGTCAATAAATTCATTATGAGTACAGTGAAATTTGGAAAAAAGTATTTAAGCCATACAATTAGACAAAACAGCCTCTGAATGCTCCTTTTTGAAGAAAATGTAAAAGCTCCATGAAATAATTCTGCAGTTTTATAATCTTCCCACGTTCTTCCATGACGATTCAATTGATTGGAAAAAAAGAGGTTCCTACATAAGAAAGTCCATCGCAGTGATGGAAACACTCATTTCATTAGACAACATCATCTCTGAAAAGAGTAGCAGAAGCCCTGCAGAGAAGGGAATGACCGCTGTGTGAGATGCCTGCTGCGCCTCTCACTTGATTTTCTCTGTAAATTTGATATCATGCTTGCAATTACGTTGCACAAACCAATTAGCAGTGAGTAACACAGGATCCAGAACAGATTCATACATAAGGTCATTGATGCATCCTTCCCTCCTGAAAGCAAACCACTGATAACTACCTATTTGTGGTGGGCGAAGAATAATTTAGAATACGAGTGTTGTCAGGCAACAGATAATTGCGTGTGAGCATGTGTGTGTGGGGTGAATATCTGAAACTGGACTTTCGAACCATCAAGCACAAGCCTGCGATTTGCCAGCTACAATTGGCATGGGCTGGTTGTAAACTGTGATGACACCTGGATGAAACAGGAGTGACACATACCAAACCCTCCTATTAATAAACAGACATGAGACAGAGCCAGTGATTAAGAGGCTGACCATGCACTGTGCTTCTGCACATACATTGTTTTGACATATCTCACTATCCAAATCCATCACAAGTTCTCATTTACGCCGTCTCACTCGTGACAATTTTGAGCGCAGTTTTTCCAGGCTGCTGCGTATCCTTCAGCATCACCTCACCAGACTTGATCGCCCAGTCTTGCTTGTGAGAACACGGTGTGAGATGTGCCAAAAGTCATACTGAAGTCGGCACATCGAGGGTCTGCCACAACACTCCTACCCACAGAGCCTCCTCCTCTATCGCGGACGGAAGAAGGGCTTGACCGATCTGCCGTTGACAAATCCAAGCTGGCATTCTGTCATTCGTCTTTTTGAAGGGATTTATAACTTGTCATCGTACTAAAGAAAAGCACGTCTTCTGCTGTAAAACCCCCAAATATTTCAGAAGTCAGAGCTAAGAATCCATTAGGAAATCCACCAAATAACCAAAATCTTGCAAGTGAATTAGTGACGGTCCAAGCTAGTTCTAAAATTCTCGAACAGAATGAATCCAGTAACTGTAATACAGAATCTAGTAACTATTAGCAGTTTATTACTAAAAGCTCACTTTAAAAGCTCTTTAAATCTTTATTTTAATTTCCATTTCTAGTCAAATCTGGATTCCAACCTTTTTGGAAAAAAACAATCCTTAACTTTTTCCCCCTCCCTTTCATCATTATCTTTTTTAAAGCTAGCAAAATTTCTGCTTCCAAGTTCCTAATGCAAGAGAAATCAAAATGCCTTTTTCTGCATAAAACACAGTAGTAACAGTGCTTTGGGAGTAATTTCAGCTTAAAAAGGGAACTTGCACACAGTGCAGCCCATAAAAGTAGAACAATGGAAAAGCTGAATTCCTACCCACAAATTTCAAATTCCCTTTTATATCATTAATAGCGGACATGTCTCCAGAGTGCAAAAATTTTAAGACAAGACAAATTTTATCTTTAAACTGCTTGACATTATCTGTACAAAATTCCTGAACATAGCAGTGGGAATTGTACAATCCCTCTTGTAAACTAATCTAAAACTAGTCTTTCCTCTATTTCACCTACAAGAGAAAATGAACCACACTAACACCAAGCATTAAAAACAGACTTGGTTGTTTTGGAGCTCATTAAGTAGTTTGCAGATACTGAAAAGGGAGCGTTCTTCTCTCACCAGTAAACTCGTTTTCATATTATTGATCTGTGGATTTCAAGAAGCTCCAAGTAACTGTAACTAACTAATTCTGACATTTAATTTCCCTCTCCCTCTATAATCAGGGGAATATTAGCCATACCAGACATGCACTGAAAGCTCTTGACTGGGAAGAGTGGAAAACTTGAGTCAAAGCATGTTGGGTTTTGCTCGTTTTTGTTCCTCAGATGACAAATGGGAATATGCCTTGAAGGGTTGTCACGTCCTCCTTTCCAACCAGCATTTGCATTCTTCCAGTCATAAGCAATCTTCTCCAATGTCCAAGACCTCTCAGAGACGACAGTGACCTTGCAGTGACATCAACCAGTTCTCCAGCATCCTTGGATGCCTCCCATTCCGTCTTATGGATTTGCGCAAGTCCGGCTGACTGAGCAGTCCTGAAACACAGTTTTCTTCTTCTATGGCTAATGCTCTTCTCCCACAAGTTCTGCTAGCCCATTTGGGGATCTGGGAGACGTGAGTGCAAGTCTTGCCATTGAAATGCTCAGGTTTAGTCAAAATATGACTGCTGCAATGTGCAGTTGAATGCATTGCATCAAAAAGCTAAGACATGGATATCTATGCAAAATGTATTTTCTGTCTCAAAACACTCTAATGATGCTCACCTGGCTGTCTTTGGCAGGAGGAATCTCCATTTAAACAAACCAGGGCTGATCCAAAATTTACTGAAGTCAATGGGAAAACTCACTGGCTTCAAAGGAGTCTGGGTGAAAAGTCTGAGATGCACAAAAGGGATTTTATCTGAGTTTTTTGCTGAGCTAATACTAGGTCTATGGCCACATCAGATAAAACAACTCTGATCTTCCAAGATGTCAGAAGACACATCTGAGAGATTAGCTCAACTCTGGATGGAAAAGGAAGAGCAAATCCAGAAAACAGAGGAACTGTGGCTGAACATCTAAGTAATATTCTGCTACAAGTACCAAACAGAAAAACTTGCAGGATCTAGTCATCACAGGTCAGAGAGAAATAATTTTCGAAGTCCCATGTAAATGACACATCCACCAACGGAAGACAGGGCTGACTCAAAAGTTGGCTCTACAAGTACTTGTGCAAATCTCTAAAAGAACATTACATTTATTTCTGGAGGGTAAGTTTTAAACTATTGGCCTCAAAACAGGTGTCCAGGCAGAGATTTGGAGGACAGTTAGTTCACGCACTCCCTGCTCCAACTTGAAATGGCCTTGCTTTCAATTTCAGAGCTAAAACTTCTCAAGTTACCTAAGCCTTTAGGACAGTTTCAGTGAATTAAATACATGCCAAGAAGACAGGGCTTAAGAGAGATATGCCCTGTAGTTAATATTCTTACACACAGCCACCAGTGGAACTGCTTACGATTTTCTGCTCAAAATAGCCTTTCAAGAATACGTAACTGCCATGCACGAAATGACCTTGTAACATTTCCACCAAAAAGTGTCTTGCCGTAGTCAGCTGAAATATGAGAAAACCCATCATGATCTATTGGGAACCATAAATTCAAAAGGCTGCTAAAACTGTAGCATTTATTTTACTTACAATATACCATCTGTTCCTTTTATTAAATAGTCATATATAGCTTTTGGTTAAGATTTTCATAAGAGATATCATGATTTTTTTACACTGTAAATAAAATCTGTATTTTTGATTCATTATCACGTCTATTAACACCGTAGTGTATTCCCTTAGAGTTACTTTCAGTCTAAAAATAAAACTAAATCCTAAAAATCAACATTTTTATTTAAAAAGAGAAAGAACACGGCTCAGAATTAGATAAAGCATTACTTGCTAATAAAGTTACCGTTTCTGAAAGGATCACTGCTTCAGACTGCTGCAGAGAGATATCAGTAGATTTAAATTCTTTATCAAATATCTCTTGATGCTTGCTGTTCCTTTTCTCCTTCTTCTTTTCTTTTTTATCTTTATCTAGGTCGTCCTTGTCCAATTTATCTTGAGACCTAGAATGCATCTTTTTTGGCAGGAGGGGCTCCAGCACAAACCTAAAGAAAATTGTTGTTGCTTAGATCAATAAAATACTATTTTCAAAATACCTAATTTTCACTTACATATTTCCCAAAGTCTCACTTGAGTTAACGATGCTTTGCTAATCCAGGAAAACTCATTAGAGAGAAAAGGAGGGGGCAGAAGGTTATAACAATCATAATTGTCTTACAATAAAATTTACTGCAGAACTGCTGAAGAACCAGTACTGCGTATTTCCCTCCTCTGTAGTAAATTCACTGGTTTACAGCTACACAAGCTCCTGAGTTTCACTGTATGTGGTTTACATAAAAATGAGTTTCTCATTCAGCACTCCCACTACGCCGTGGTACCTTGGCAGGCGTGCCAGGTGATGCCTGGAAACTCCAGTGGAAATCAGCCCTATACAATCAGGTAATTGTGAAGTGCATTAAAGAAATGTCACCCCTACTTTCCCTGCACCTTGGAGGCAGTCCGTATCTCTACCAAGGGCTTTAAGGATTTCCTTAAAAAACAGCCGAGTCCAAATTCGTCCTGGACTTTTTATTTTTTTAGTGGAGAAAGAGGATGTATTTATTCCCCAGAGAAGGAATAACAGTTGAGAAACCATTTTGAAGAGGTACAGTGATTTTCTGTTGAACATGCCCAACATAAAACGCTTTCTAACCCCTGTAAATCATCAAAATTACAGTATCTTTTCACAGAAAAGCAAACAATATCACCTTTAATGCAAAGGTAACACCTATACATTGCACAAAAGCATGAGATATAGAGGTCTAACCACAGACACAAGCACTATTCCAGTCTGTAGTAACACCTTGTGTGTGTACGTTTGGTTTTGTGTGCACGCATGAGGATATCTATCCATACAAGTGTGCACATATACACTCACAGATCCATACCTCTGCTCACCTCCAGCACACCCTGGTGATGGGGAGCCAGGAGGGCTGAGCTTAATTGTTCTGGTATTACAGATAAACTCAAGAATGAAAAATTGGTCTGATAATAATGAAGGGCAAGGTTAGGTTCCAAAAAGTAGATGTATTTTCCTACCTGGAATGCTTTAAGTGTGTGAATATAGGCAAGGTTGATATACTACTACCACCAGTACTACCATCTGCAATTTTTACAGTCCATGACTATTTTTTTTTCTGGCTACAAAGGAAAAAATCTTTAGGGGTTCAATGAACTTTTAAAGGAAAACTTCATTTTTTAAAAAGCTTTCATTTTG